TAAACTTACCCTGATGCAACTTGAGGCCATTTCCCCTTGTCCTGTCATTAGTAATTAGAGAGAAGAGCCCAGCCCCAGCCTCACTGCAGCCTCCTTTTAGGTAGTTGTAGAGGGCAATAAGGTCTCCTCTCAGCCTCCTCTTCTCCAGACTAAACAAACCCAGCTCCCTCAGCCGCTCTTCATAGGGCATGTTTTCCAGACCTCTCACAAGCCTTGTTGCCCTTCTCTGCACCCGCTCCAGCACCTCGATGTCCTTCTTGTACTGTGGTGACCAAAACTGGACACAGTACTCGAGGTGAGGTCTCACGAGTGCCGAGTACAGGGGCATGATCACCTCCCTCCTCCTGCTGGTCACACCATTTCTGATACAGGCCAGGATGCCGTTGGCCTTCTTGGCCACCTGGGCACACTGCTGGCCCACTGTTTGCCTGTAGAAGTGCTTCTGACATCCACACACGCCAGGGATGTGGATGTTTGGGCACGGACTGAGTCTGTTTAGCGAAGGCATCGCCAATGTCTACTCCCCGTTATCACTCGCCGCCCCAGCAGGCTCCCTGTGCCAGCGCCTGTTCCCACGTGTTTCCTCGTGACCTGATGTCACAGGGCTGCAAAGGGCAGTCCCTCTCTCCTGGGATACCCTGGCACAACTCAGACAGGCTCCGGAGGCAGCAACCCCTCCGCTCTGCTCACAGAGCCCGGCCCACTGACAGCCCGTATCTCCTGGAAAAACAGGGAAGAACCTCTCCTACAGCAAAAAAAAGGTGTAGGGCTCACAAAGGGGATCTCTCTGCCAAGCACCCACAGCTGCCCAGGGCACATCTCCGCCTGGCCTCGCTGGAAACCCCTGGCACGGCCCGCGGCCAGCAGTCCCAGTGCCTCCGAGTCCCAGACGCTGCGCAGCTTTGCTCGCCAAGTTTAACTCTAGCAAGACACGGGGAAAACGTTACTTCTCCTGCACAACTGAAAATATTTTAGCAGCCATAGTGCAAACTCTCAGCTGGCTCTGTGCAAATACCCTCCCCAAATTCTTGTCTGCTTAGTATCTAGCTTTATGGAAGAAAAGAAGGGGCTGATTTAATATCCAACGAGAACACAAAATCCTTATTTGTGTTCTAGTCACATTTCCTTCACGGATAATATGAACCTAGCAATGCTTTAATAATTAGAGCCCAGCTTGGTGGGAGCACAAACTCTGCAGTTTTCACTCATCAAAAAGCTGGAGCCTACTGTTTAATGTCTTGAATCATCTGTGTCTGGAAGAGGTCGCTCCTTAAATTTTATAACCATACCTTCCCTCGGTGAATTCAAATGACTGAGACAGGTTCAACTTGGGTCCACCACACACCCCTCTTGACATATGTAGAGATTAGATATATAGAACAGAGCAAATCAGATGTCACCTTGCTGCAGGCATACGACTCCTAAATTCTAATTGTTTCCACCTCTCATAAGCAACAGAAAATAGCACCTGAAGAGCAAAGAAATACGAAGCAAACTGAAACCCTCTCAATTCTCCACATTAAGACTTACTAGATTTCAACCAGAACAGCCTGGTCACTGCTAGGCACTCCCAAAAATCTCCCTGCACTATTATTCGCAAATCCAGAGGTATAACCCTGCCAGGAAACGGGCAGGAGAGCTGCCGAGAGCCTTGGCTTTCGTGGGGTGGCGAACAGATCCCCTTTCAGCAGGGAGAGCGCCCGGCCCACACACGTCTCGCTGCGAAAGGGCAAGAGTGCCTTGGAATGTGCTTAGAGCCAAGATCTGGCTTTGTATAGGCAGGGTGTGTCTTTGTTAATGAAAATCACGATAAAGAGCAAGAAAAATAAACAATGCAATTCCTTGAAAATGGCCAGTGCGTTCTGCTAACTGTGCAAGCTTGGGCTGAGCTCGCAGCACGCCGAGCCCAGGACTCTTCTGCACGTTTTTACCTGCAGGAGGTTTCTGCTATTGCAAAGTTCTGTTTTATGAGGGGAGTTTTGCCTGACGGGACAATATCTGCGCTCTGCAGAAGGCAGACAGCACAGCAAGCAAACGTGTCAATATATTCTCTTTCCAAGTCTCCTAACACCACAAAAAAAAGGGAACATTAAGTTAATAGAGAAGAGTAGCGGGCATTTCAAACACCCTGGGAACAGACTTTGTCCACCATTCTCACATGCTCATTCCATAGAGATGGTGAACACAGCTATTTCCCTCCCCTTTCCCCCTCAGCAAAGAAAAAGAAAGCAGAGATTAATAGGAAATCGCATGAATTCATTATCAGCCATTTATTCCACTGGTGTTGAGCTGCAACAGCCAATGTTCTCTCTGAAATAAACCCTAAACAGTGACATCTGCAAGTCCACCGTGCAAGCACAGATCTATCTTAAAGAGGTTTGGGGCTTTCAAGAAATCAAGTGAAATAGGGCAACAGGATTCCCACTGTACGATGGCTTTTTTATTAATGAAGTAATAGTAATAAGCACAGCCAGCAATTCGTACCAATAAACCACTTCTAAAGACCTCACCTTTAAAAACCTGTTTTCCTGGCAGGAATACCTAGACGAACAGGAACTTACAAATTATAAAGCCATTCTAACGAGTCAAAACTAAAAAGAAAGATGCACTTTGTCCGATGTTTGCAAGACAGTTGCTTTACTTCACAAATTCCCCCCAAAAAGGAACTAGGAAACTGGGAATCCCAATTTGTGGCTATAAAAGTTCTGGAGAAGCCTGGAAGTCAGTGTCTTATGAGACAAAACTGACTCCCGATAGTGAGGATATGTGGACACAGGAGGGACTCAGGACCAGGATGAGAAAGAATGAAGAATCTCCTGGCTGGACTCTAGTACTCAAGAGGAAAACCGGGGTTTGGGGGTAACACGTTATTTTGTGTACTCTTGCTTACAAAACTGTGTAGGTCCTACAGGTAAAAAGCAACTGGGATCACAAATTTCAGTTCACACAGCGCTTTCTGCTTGCAGAGCTTGAAACGGTTTGCAAACGGTTTTAGAGTTGACGAAAAGGAAGTTCAAAGCAGCGAAGAAAGTTGTCCAATCTCACACAACCACTTGCAACAGCACCGTAGCCAGAAATTCATCTTCTGGCCAGAACTCTGAGAAGGAAATATCCTCATCTGACTGCATTCATTATGGTTGCAATTAATAGATTACGAGGCAGACCGTGCCAAAAGGAAAAACAGAGGAAAAGTTTTCAAGTAACTGTGTGTGAAAGAAGTGTCAGAAAAGCAGCGAAACAGCTGGCAAAAGCCAACCAAGCGGGACACGAGGGGACACAGGACTGGGAGCATCTTCTGATTCAGAATGCAGACCCCACCACGGCATAAAAGCCATACTTAAAAATCAGTTTCTGCCCTGTCCCAGCCCCCTCAGCGTTGCTTGCTGCAGCCCTTCTCTCTGAAACAGCAGAAAGTAGACAAGCCCAGCAATAAAGAGATCACTGGAGTATTTAAAGCTGTTAAAAGTGAAAGCACTGAAGCCTGAATAATTTGCAACTTAACAGGCATTTAAATATAGCCCTGCATATAACCGACATTTAAATGTTAACGTGCATAAACCAGAGCATTTGTGATTTATCAGTCTTGCCGGTTTGAAAAATACAGACTATAACCACGTAAATCAGGAAAATACTCACCGACACCGAAACATCCTCGATTTTTCTTTTAGCACTGGAGTCGAACAAGACATTCCGGCCTCTTCTTTCACAGTCCTGATACACGATCAGTCGGATCTGACTTGGGTCAAACTCCGGCAAAGGCCAGCTTTAACGAAAAAACAGAAGAGCAGAAGGGTCAGTTACCACAACTCCCTGTTACATCGTTCTGACTACGTTATCTGTATATACAACTTTATTAAAACATAAAGCTGAGCAAACGCAATGCCACTTCTCAAATGCTTTGATCTGGTGGCCAGAACTACGCCTTTTGGGGTTTTTTTCCCCCTGCACTTGCCAGATTACACCAGAATAAACAGCACCAACACACTCCAACTGTATACAATGTGCACAGCACTGCTGGCTCTGCTGCTCTGCCTTGTGATATTTCATGTTTCCTTTAAGTTCCAGCTTTTTGAAATCAAAGTCACAGAATAACTTGTGTGTTTAGACACACAGACACAAAAGGAGGAGGACAAAAAAAAAAAAAGGAAAAAAAGGAAGAGAGGCCCTCATAGTTGCAAGCATTGGCTTGAGAGCACTCACAATACAAGGGCAAAAAGAAAAAAGGTATAAATTCCCACTGGCCTCTCCCTTAAGTAACGATCTTCTGCATTTGCAGTCATGGGTTTCCGGCCTCATGGGTTGCAAACCCCTGAACTCCACAGCTGTAAAAATGCAAAGTACCTTTCCTACCCCTCTTCAGGTTTCACAAACACTGTGGTAACATACGTGCACAGAACTAACTGCAGGATTATGAACTACAACTTCCATACCGATAGACGAGCTTTGGAGCCACGTGTAGCTCGGTCCTGACTATATACTCAGGTGCTCACTCCGTCCAGACTTAGAAATAATCTCCACTTAAGCCACCACGACTCAAGGCAATCCTGCTGCATGGGTCTGCAAGACACACCCAGTGGTCCTCCACCAGCACCCCCATTCCCAAACTGGTTTTGCAGTCAGGAAGAAGGAGCTTTCCTGAGCCTCTACCTTCCCCACGGCTGCTGACTTCAGCCAAGCTCTGCAAAGGGACAACTTGCAGGGCTCAGCCTCGAATGCCATCGCTTAATCTTGCCTTTAAGGGGGCTTTGCAGCGTGACCTTAAATTTCCGTTTCAAAAAGCCAGTCCTCGCTTTGAAGCCCAGCAAGCATTGTCACCCACGGGCTTGGGAATCCATTCTCACCGACACTTTCTCTGTTCTTGGAAGATAGGAAACAAGACACCTGCTCTATCCATGAAACCAACAGGAATCATCTTTCAGCTCTGTTGCGAGTCATTTCCTAGATCAAGTGAAATTCTATCTTCCTTATCCTTGGCTTCTAGGCAAGCAGCGTTAGCATCAAACCCCAAAAAGCGAGAAACGAGGCCCTGCAACTTCCCAGCCATTAACAAAGGATATACATTCCCAGTTTACAAGAAGGAGCAGTATATTTTTCTCAGCACAAAGACACCCAGAAGTGATCAGGCTTAATGGGACTTCAAGCAACTTGGTGTAGCAGAGGGTTGGAACTAGATGATCTTTAAGGCCCCTTCCGACCCGAACCTTTCTACGATTCTATGACAAAATGGACTGAAGTAAACTTGGCATGCTAGACTCCAAGACTATGGTAAATTTTCCTCTCTTATGACCCTCTAAATTCTCTAACCAAAAGGTTTCCCTCTCCGTGTCCATGCTTTATGCAATAAATACGCTAATGATGATTTGTAAGCCAACGGCTTCTGTAGCAGGACCACAGGGAATCAATTTATCATCAAAGCCACGGCTGCCGATCAGAAGTTAAGACTGTCCGATCCAGATTCGCAGACTTTACAATTGGTGCAGTCCTGGTGAGGCAAAACCAAGCCCCAAGACGTGCGGTTACTCGGCCTCTGGAGTGAGGAAATCCATTTTCTAACCTGCTCAGCCCCACCATGAAGCAAGAGGCGAGAAAACCAGAAGCTGCCCAGAAGACACCGTGCAACAAACGTCAAAAGCAACTTATTACAAAAAAAGTATCTCCTAACAACAAAAAAAAAGCTTGAGCAACTTGGAAGTGAAGTAACTAGATGGCTACCTTTAGGGGCAATAAGCCGTACACGCTCTGTGTTTGGACACCTAAAGCCAAGCATCATCCCTGACCCCAAACTGAGCAAATTCCGTACCACAAGCCCGGCAGAGCCACACACCCAGAGCAGAGCTTACATTTCCTGGGAGCTCTGCTGATGAGCCCCATCTTGCATTTCAGAAACTGTAAGGAAAACAAAATCCATCCCGTTCGATGCGTATTTGGAGCGTTATCACTGGAGCTGGGGATGGTTACTCGCAAGAGCCTGACTTTGGCTGGAGGTGATGAGCAAGTGAGACCGACGGACAAACCGCCTTCCTGGAGGAACCACCTCTTGCCATTAAGCAAAATCAGTGGAAGTCTGGAAACTGATTTTGTTTCCGGGTAGTCCACCGTGGTTCCTACACAGAAACACTGACAATAACAACGAACCGCTTGCCCTAAGGGTGCCATCGCGGGCTCCACCCTCGCAACATGTTTGAATTTCCTTCACGCTCAGACAAAAGCGTATCTTCCATTACCTAGTACTTTTGATATTTGACTTTGAAATTACTCGCAAAGAAGGGCAGTAGCTGTTCCAGATCCTAGGAAAGTCTACTTATAAAAAGCTCCAAGAGCAGATTACACACTAAGAGGAGAGAAAGCTAAATATAAAACTTGCTGTGTTCGGAAACATATTTGATCAAGGTAACAAGAGCTTGTTTACTTCTCAGCTTCTTCACATGACATTTTAACTTTCTCTAGACGAGCGTTTAGGAGATATTACCCATCATAATTTGTGATAATTCCAAGTAAGTGTTATCTCCGTTACATAATAGAGTCCTTAAGCACATTTCAGCCTTGTACAAACATTCCCTGGCAGCAGCAGGCCACCTCCCAAACGAGAAGAAACTTAAATAAGGGAGCTGGGGGAAAGTTCATTTAGACAGCCAACAACCAGAGGCTGGCTGGCACCTCCGGCTCACCCCCACCACCTCCCAGCCAGACACATTTTTCTGGAGGATGCCGAGGAGCTTCGGTTTCGTTGCTAGCAGCTTTAAAATACCGGTAAGCTTGCTATCTGGATAGATTATCCCCAGAAACACACCAATTCCGGCGGGCAGTACGCAGGGCACGTTCTCAGAACAAATGTAAGAGGGCAACACTCCAGCCCCGCTCTTCAGCCGGATGAAAACTGACCTAGATCTTCTGAATATAATTAGTTCTGTTTATAAATGGAAACCAACTTTGACATTTAACTGATGTTTTCTGGGGATTCTTATAGAAAGGCTGGCAGATGTAGAATCCAATGTTCTAGGGAAGTTAATGAAAGGTTGAGTCTTCATCTCCCACAATGACAGCTCTCTGAACGAGCCCTTCGTCCTGCACGACCCATCTCCCACTCTTCGATCTTTCCTACAAACTCATTATATTTAAAGAAGGCAAACCAAAACCAAAAACCCAGGACAACCAACCAACCAGAAAAACCACCACCGAGAGAACCCCAGCCAGCTCTTCACCACTGGAAACGTTTGTGACTTCACCTCACGGTCAGTGCTTATGAGTTCATGCGTCAAGTAAGAGAAAAAAATAATAAAAAATTATTCCTGAGCAGGACCCCAGTGCTGTGGAAACCTCCGCTACACAAATAGTGTCTCCTCCAGAATGAGATTTGAACATAACGGGGTAGAAATCACTGCTGTATAAATGGTTTGTGTGGTATTTCAGAAACAAATCATGTAAAACTGATCTTGCACCGTCACAGACTGGGTGAGGTTAGAAGGGATCTCTGGAGGTCACCTGCTCCAACCCCCCGTGTGGATGCTAAATACAAAGCAAAAAAGGAAAGGAATTATTTGGGGCAGAAAGGCAAACTGCCACGTGAATAACCATGAAATTATTACAAACTAATGAAAATGAAATTAAGGGCTGAAAAAGGCCATTTTAGTGCACATTCACAATTAAGCCTTGTTACTGTTCAGCTCTTCTCTTTCACCGGTTCTGTTCTCCTGCCTTTTTTCCCTCCAAGCCCTAGGAGTGTTATCTGTAGTTCACATATACAGAGCCATCACATGCTTCCCGACACCGGCCCTGCGATCTGCGTGGCAATCCAGGACCCCAAACCCTCTCCAAGGATGGATTTTCCTCATGTATCTAATTCCTGGAGTTTCCTACTGCCATAGCTGTTTCTCAGCAAGAGGCAACCGAACAGCTTTCAGTTGGTATTACTACACCCTGTGCAAGTTTTAAGAGATGAAACAACACAGAAATTCTTCATTATGACTCCCCCAATAAAATACAAGATTTTTTCCCCTGTAATTGAAAGCAAGTACTTTCCTTCCTCCTTCTCTCCACAACAACAAACAGCACTTCTTCATTACACTCAAGGTTTAGCTTAATACTATTTTTCCTCCTGCCTGACTGTGCACTTAAAACTACTTTATATTAACACATCTTAGATAGTCTCCGATTACTTTTTAATAATTAACACAGATATTTTACAAGTCTTGAAGAATGAAGAACTGAAGCAAACTGATCAAGATAGTAAGCAGGTAGGAATTGTATCCGAGTTCTAAGAAGTCAAGCTGCTCAAAACCAGAACGCGACTAACCACTGGAAAAGCAAGTCGAAACTATCAGTCAAACTATTGTTTTCCTACATCATGTTACCCATAGTTATAAAAACTGCCTGCCGATGAATCACTTGGAACTATTTTTACATGCATCTACGCAAATGGTATTTATAGTTTATGCTAGCTTATCTGTTCTGCATGGTTTTTGTGTTAGCACCTTTTTAAAAGCCTGACAGGAACAGCCAGGGCGGCGCAGACGGCAGGTCCACCTCGCCCCGCGCTCCCCTCGCGAGGTTCCGCGCGGAAAAAAAACCCTCCTCCTTTACTCCTAAGGAGCTGAGCATCAGAACCAAGGCCCAGGGATCGCCGGCGCTTATCTCTTAACTGCCGCAGACGATGCTCCTCCTGCTGCGAGGGTGGTGCCTCCACCCAGCCAACTTCTGCTCGAGCGCCGGACAGACGCCGGCCCTGCCTTGTAGAGCTCACGCTGCACATACGGGGCCGTTGGG